CCCCCCCCCCCAACAAAAAAAAGAAACCCAAAAAAATTATCCTTAATGGAAGCAACCTCTAATTTATTATGGATGCACTCATTTCTTATCCTATCTTTTAGTGTATGCCCACAAGGCCATTGCAACATCCTCAATTCTGCTACACTCATTTTCCGCTACAAAGTGCTACAGGTACCAAACATAATATAATTTTCACAACATAAGCTACATGAAGGCACAATCTGGAAGCAAGGATGAGAATGATTAAGGTATGAGATGATAATGGAAGTGAAGCGGCTTTACTCTTCTAATTCTCTTATATTTTGACAATGCATGATCAATAAGTGTTATATTGTTAACTGGAGCTCATAAGCTAATGTATACCTCCCCGCAAATTAGCTTGAAACATGAACATAAAAGCTTCAAAGGGGCAACAGTAAGTAAGAACCATTTAATTTATTTTTTATCTCAATCAACACGTTATAGAATTATTCCATAGCCACGAGTAGCCTGCTGTTGCCACTGTAGTCAATATATTAAAGTACTATATTGGATACATAGTTCATTTTATCTACTTTTAAGATTACGAATTATATCTATTTTTAAACTCACAAGGAAAATTTTGTCGGCATATTAGGTGTAGAAGTCTGTCTCCAGAGTTTCATAGATTCACATAATAGCAAAATCACTGCCAACTGCATAAGCTATATTATGGATGAGGATACAGCTCTTAGTATCTCGCTAATGAGCCAGCTATCAACTCGTTCAGTGCACTGCAAATAAAAGAAAAAGCTGACAACATACTTACAAGTCCCAAACTCCCAATAAAAATATAACAAAAGGATCCTTAAAGACTAACATACAGATGGATAACACTTCTTCAGAATGTCCTCAGCTCTGAATCTCAAGTACAGCAGCAGGAGGCGACTGCCTAGCCATGCGATCCCATTCCCAGGTCTTTGTGCTGGCTATAAAATAGAATCAAAAATGTAATTTGAGCTAATTGAATATCATCGTAGCTATTACGGTTCAACTATGTACTTCGGCTGATGGTTGAACTCCATAGTTATAAACAAATTAATTAAGTGCCTCACATTGCTATTTACATAAAATAAAAAGAAACACCATATTAACACCCTTCTCAGCATTTCCTGAAATAGACATACTCGAAAGGCTTGATATATGCAAGAGCAAGGTTAAACTCTGGTTTAATCATATCTAAAGTCTGAAACCAGTAGACCCATACTTTACTATGCTATGCCAGTTTCCATAATACAATCAATTCGATGGGGCTCTAAATGAACACAGAAATGGGTGGTTTTCATATGAATTGCCTGCAAAGGTGTTGCCCGTACATGACAGGAAAGGTAACAAAGATATCCAAAATCCAACTTCAGAAAAGTGAACATAAATCTGTTTTACTTTAAAAAGGTCCATTTCTAAATAAATTAAGTCCGAAAGGAATGAGAATATTGCTTTAATAATTAAAGAAAGAAGTAATGTAGTTACAGCTAAAAATTTTACATTATGTATCCTCTCTAAACTTTGACCTCTGTGGGATATATTCACCTAGGTTAAGCTCCTAAATCTAAGCATGTCCATACGGATCCATTCAAGAATGTCATTCCATTTAAGAAGGCATCAGGAAACCTAGGATTTACTAATAAACTATTGTTGAAAGTGAGAATGTGAAGATTTGATGTGGCCAACTAGGATTTCTTAATAATTAATAAACTATTGTTGAAAGTGAGAATGTGAAGATTTGATGTGGCCAACTAGGATTTCTTAATAATTATACTTTTAATGAAAAGTGGTCCTTTTTTCCACCTTCGTGTGACTTCACAATTTTTTTAGGGAAATTCAAAATTGCATTAAATCCTACTTGGGCAACTTTTTTACATTTCACTTTCATAATCACTTGCTGTCTTGCATGCAAACAAACAACTAAATTGTTAAAAGGCAGTCACTTTCACACTTCCATTTTTCACTTCCATGTAAAAAAGGACTCCCTATAGGCCTATGCACATAAGTACATAGTATCATGCCAAACCAGCATTTGGTATCTTTAATGCAAATATGCATACATAAGTGGCTGTTCAAGCGGGCATGTGTACAATGCCAAACCAAAGAATAGAACATGATACATACAATTCCAGGTACAGGGAGTTGTATGACAACTTGAATGACTGTACCTCAATTAACTGGACAGAAGGATAATTTGGTACCACTGAACCAGCTGTGTTTATAAGAACGACTGACTTAGCCAAAATAGGCCACAAACCAGCCACAGCAGCGACAAAATAACCTGAATGGGAATATATGGTTAATATAAGAATTAACTGCATATATAATATGCATAAAGCAGAAATACAATGATATTTGGCACTGAAACAATGGGATGCACATACCACCAATTGAGTTGCCAACAAGATGCACAGATTCACCCACGACATCAACAATAAAGTCCCTCAATAATTCTGCCCATGTAAGTTCTGTGTATGCAAGGTTTGGCTTCTCCGACCCCCCGAAGCCTAAAAGCGTGATTCCCCAAACTCGATGTCCCCGATTAGCCATACAAGATATATTATCGCGGAAATGCTCCAAAAATGCTCCAAAACCATGAACAAAAAGAATGGCAGGACCTTTATCACCAACAACTGTATACTGTTTTGGGAGGGACTAATTAAGCAAAGCCCACAAATACAGAATGCAGCAATTTCTTTTTCTTCAGAAAGACGTAATTTCATCTATACAACTTGTGACATAAGAAACCTATGAATTATCTTCAGAAAGACGTGATTCCCCAAACTCGATGTCCCCGATTAGCCATACAAGATATATTATCGCGGAAATGCTCCAAAAATGCTCCAAAACCATGAACAAAAAGAATGGCAGGACCTTTATCACCAACAACTGTATACTGTTTTGGGAGGGACTAATTAAGCAAAGCCCACAAATACAGAATGCAGCAATTTCTTTTTCTTCAGAAAGACGTAATTTCATCTATACAACTTGTGACATAAGAAACCTATGAATGATGTATTAATATCCAAAGAATCAAAACCAACTAAACTGTCATGTAATAAATTTTAACCAAGAAAAGTTAAGTTCTTTTTCCCAAGACAGTAAGCAATCATCTACAGTGAATGTCTTTGTTTGCTCTTGACTTTATCCATGTGTTGGAGTTAAATGAAGAGGCACATGAACAAAATGTATAACCAAAAACGAATTAAAGCAGTTTGGTGCAATACCTGAATCAGATGGCCTTTCCATCTCCATACTCTTATGGGAAATATCGTATCCTTGAACTTTTGGCTCTTCAATGCAATGAGCCAATACCACTGCATAATCAACTCTAGCATTACGCATATAAAATACTGATAATTAAGGGGCACATTAGGACAATCTATCATCTAATCAACAAATGCACTGAAAGATAAATTGGTGTTGCTAGCATATACTCAAAAAATGCTGATGAACTCATACCTCCATCGAGCAAACAGTGTCAACTGCGGCTTCAACAGTTGCTGCTGAGTATCCAAAGGGAGACAGAAAGCCTCCATTACGTTCTCTCTCATACTTTATAGCTTCATACTGCACTCTCCTCCTCGATATAGTTCCAAGATAAAGGGCAGTTCCGAAAAGGCCAGCAAATGAAGCCCCACGTCTACTTTCAACCATGCGCAATTTATCATGTAATCTGTCAACAGAATAAAATAAGCTCTCCTCAGGTTGTAAGAAAGAAGAAATTTAGTTGCATAAACTAAGCACTAAACAACTAAGAAATAAGATGTTGGGCTAGAGAACTTGTATAACAAAGTAATTACATACTCCTGCCAATCATCCCTCGCTGTTCCCTCCAAATATCTCAAATAAGCAGATAAAGCATTCAATACAGTATTGGTTCCACCTCTAACTTGATTTCCTCCTTGTGATGCAAACACAGACTTTTCCAGTTTCCATCGTAAGTTGTTGTATGCCAATGTGACTTCAGAACTGTTTCCTTCAGAATTTTCTATGCCATTAATAATATCAGTTTTCATTACAGTTTGACTGTTCTTCTCTTTTCTCAATATGGTTTTAGCTGATGTTCTCTTTACAGAAATCCATTTCTCATCTTCTTCACATGCCATTCCCTTCATATACTTCCTTACATCATCAAATGTAGGTAAAGTACCTAAAAATTTAACATATCATAAAAAACGAGTAGGAAATTGCCAAGTCGTGGACATAAATAAAAAGCTATATGCCTATTGTACAAGTACGTATTTCTGTGCATATTGATTAACATCCGTACATGTATAAAAATACTTTTAATAATGGAGTGATCCTTTGCCTAGTCATTCCTGGGTCTACTCATTTCCAAACGCTTTGGCAAATACATGGGGCCAGACATGCAGGAAATAGGCTGACATGCAAAGGACGCCTGATGCCAGACTGTGTTTGGAATGAATAGATTCCCAAGCGAGTAGGTCAAGTAATTTTTCTCCAAGATAACATAAGATTACAATAAACAAGCTAAGTTAAGATTGAACAACATGGAAGCACACCTCTAGGTAGTTCCAGATTCAGCACAGGTAGTGCTGGGGCTGAGACTGGATTAGACAGCGGCAATTTCAGCTTTTGGAGACCATTATATGATGGAGGTATCTCCTTCAAGTTCTAAACAGAAAGGCATAATGTGTCATTATGCTGCGCATTAAATACCTGAGAACAACAGATAGAGCTGAACATTGACATAACTGAACATACAGTGATATAGGATTACCTTCACATCATAGAATGGAGTTCTCCATAGCACAAACTCTGGGCTTCCCCATGGAAAATTTTCAGCTGACAAGGATGATTCAACACCATCAACAACACTACGAATATTATGTTCTACTTCATCTTCCACAAAAATGTGGGTAGCTTTAACCTGTTACAATTAAAAACAATGAGTTTAATCAGGAGACATGAATAATAATGTGTTGCTGCTGATGCAGATGGAGACCAGAACTAGGTCACATACATATATGAATATCAGAATAAGGGAAGAATCCTTGCCAAGCAACCTCATTCACAAGTTTCACTATGACGTCTTCTGCACTACCAAAGCCAATAAGGAGATCTGATCCCTGATCCTTCAGCTGCTTTTTTAGATCTTGCAATGCAAAAATGAGCAATTCTAGCATTTCATCAGAGAAACCTGTAACAATTAAAAAAAACAAGACCAAGACATTATCATCTCAAAAAACATTGATTATGTTAAACATGGAAATTATGGAGTAGGAAATGAATATCTCTATAAAAAAAAATTTGAAATCTTCCACATATTCCATTTTAGGATATCTGTACAAGATGCCCGTCTATGCCCTCTTGGTGACATGAACACATTTAGACAGATGTAGTTAATGGACTAGAATAACGTCCAAAAACACCAAATTTAACTCTATACTTTTAACTTCACCGTGATTCTCTGACTTTTATCTTAGCTACTGCCTACTGCTTCCTATTTCTGATGTTGAAGAGCAAAAGGGAAGTGAGAATGATTCGTGAACCACTGCTATAGACATGATGATATATAATGTGGGTCATGAATATGTCAATCTCAATTACAAAAGAGCCTTCATCCCAAAGTTTCAGTTTGGCTACATGACTTTGTTTTCTCCACTTAGCTCAGTTATGGACCACGCTAAGTTAACAATTCTGCACAACTTGTTGCCTTAATCCATGGCTGTTGCTCCTAGCAACTCATGCACTTCTTGCTCTCCAGTATACATGTAAAAATCAATTTAGATGGTTGTCTCGCATCTTATCCTTAATAAAACTACAATTACCTTCCTATAATTGCACCAATACTTATCATATTTTTTTCACTTTCTGCTCCTTCCATTTTCTGAAAAACTAAACTTAACAGTGTGCTCTTGACGTGGCAATCAGATTCAAATTGATTGAAAATTTGTGATAGGCGTAAATGTGCGAAGTTCCAAAACTTTCATACAATCAGTTCATAGAATCAGGGATAATAAATTTGACAGAAAGAATTGACAAAACTTGAACTAAAAGGCTGAGGATCAAGAAGATACTGCAAGAGAAAAATCTAGAATCTTGATGACTTTGAAGAAGAATATATGTGACCACGAGTAGAAGGTGGTGGCCTGTACACTGAGAATAGAAAATTTTCACCGCTGCTCTTATGTGGAAACAGCATCAACTACTCCAGTATCCTATTTGCGGTCATAAGGTTGGGCATACCTTTTTCCTAAAATAAATTAAAATCCATTAAAATAGGTACAATTTGATTTCAGCTTGAGTTAACATTTTGCAGTCACTATTGATTGACTACCTAGTGTGGTCCAAATATATATTTACTAGTTACTCATTCTAAATCTTTTATGTATGCTAATGCACATCAAGCTTCACAGCATTAGTTGCAGTAAATTCCCAATCAACACCCCATTTGGCACTCTAGAATATAGCTTGTACAGGAAACTAAATTCGCAATATCAGATGGTTTGGTTGTTCTTACAAAAGGATGAAGCCATTATCCCAAAATTGTGGGCCAGTGACACAAATGCATACCCTCCACTTTGGTTATTAATGACCATCTCTTCAGTCAACAAAAAGAAAGAAAGAAAGAAAAGAGATTTTATATGAGAAAAGGATGAGTAACAACTTGTGCGTAAAATCTTTAAGCTGAGCCACGAGTGGGCACCATAACATCAAAATCGTAGGTTTAACTCAAGACTGCATAAAAGCTGAAAACTCCCAGAATTGACCTTTACAGAAAACTCCCATATCTCCAGACTGCACATAAGGTGTTAAAAGGAATAATTCTGAATTGTTATCCAGCCTTGCATTACAAAGGACATTAGCACATTAATTATTTAAAGTTCCTTGCAAGTTCCACAATATTTGTTAAAAAAGGGAAACCACACAAAATCATCACTTAAATGCGAAAAAAGGGGGAAAATACTAACTTGATAGAATCCGACGATCGAAGACATAAACGGGCACGACTACTTGATTCTCTTTAACTGCATCAACAAACCCCAAGTGGTCATCAACCCTAAGATCACGCTTCAACCATACAACCGCCGCCCCTCGGCCTCCTCCGCTCAACGNCGGGCGCCGACGGCGATCTCGGAATTGATGGGAGAAGACGCGAGGAGAGGAGATAGGAGGGCGAAAGCAGACGGAGGAAGCCATTGAGATGAAGATGGCGATGATGAGAGACTGAGATCCATCAATTAGGGTTAGGGTTTGTCCATAGGCGAAGGATTTTTTGTGGTTAGGGTTTTGTTTTGTATTTCTTGGGGGAGAGTGAGGCGAGAGAGTGAGGGAGTTTGTGGTCGTTGGTCATTCTGTTATTTAACGGGTTGCGGATCTTATTACTGATTTTGTGGGTCGGGTCATAATACCCGATCCTGTGCTTTATATTAAAACCCTTCTTTTGTCTATTACTTTACCTATTATATATATATATATATATATATATATATAACAAATTTTTCTATAAAAAATAATCACCAAAATCGATCTACTCCCAAAATATTTGTCAAAATAGACCTAGTTTCACCATGGCGAAACTAGTTCTACTTTGAAAAATTATTTTTAGGAACTAGATCGATTTTGAAAAAACAAATTTTATAGAGTGTACGGGATTGGGAATCTATAGATTTTAACACACAATTATTCTCTACAGATTTACCACTCGAATGGGGTCCGATTTTTTTTTTTCAAAATCGATCTAGTTTTGTTGACGTGACTGAAACTAGGTAGATTTTAATAAATATTTTGCAAATATGTCGCAATTGATTTTTTGTAAAGGTCTATTTCAAAATTTTATCCTCATTTTTGTCAAAGAAACTATTTACCTAAACTTATTTAAAAAGAAATCACACTTCTTTAGTTTGTGAGAACTTCATCTTTAGAATTCCAAAAATGCTCTCATATTTTGCATGCGTTGTCACACTTCTTTTTACAGAAACCAAGTAAAAATTCAATGTTTTGACCGCATGTAGTTAAAAAGTGTGACAATGCATGCAATATATGTTATCTTGATGTGTATCATCGTCCGGTTGTGGGATCACAGCATCTCTATCCTTTTCTTTCACTGTCATACCACACAAAAACACACCTTATAGACTTTTTTCCGAACTTGCTGCATAAGTGATCAGACACAAAGATATAATATGCATAACCAAAACTCTGAAATGGCTTACGGTTGGGTTGGTAGTCCACAACTTCTGAAATAGTGACATGAACTCTAATTTTGGTTAAGGTAACTGATTGAACACGTGCGTTGGAATCTTTATACACTCCACTCAAAAAAATTATGACACGTTCTTGGCATGAAGCATACTTTGGCATATCTCTGCAATATGACGATTCTTCCTTCCTTTCAGCTATGCAATTCTGCTGTGGAGTATTTGGGCACGTTAACTGTCACTGAACCTTGTGCTGCTTCAGGTAGTCATAAAAATTCTTTGATGTGTACTCTCCTATGTTGTATGTGCGTAGGCAATGAATCTTCTTACCGAGCTCTCCTTCGACTTCTTCTCGGAATTATTTAAATTTGGAGAGTGCTTTAAACTTTTCCTTCATAAAGTAAATCCGGACATACCTCAAGTATTCATTAATGAAATGATCATATATTGCATCCCACAAATTTATTCTTGCTTCATTCGATTGAATACATCTGAGTGTACAACTTAACCACATGAGCTATCCCAAGCTCAAGATCATGATGGAAAAATCAATATTGAGGGGTCTTCCACACTTGGAGATTCAATGAGGGACCATATACAGAGGTTGTCAGTACGATAAAGCACATCAATTACCATATGAGAAGTCACAGTTTAGAACCAAAGAATTTAGAGCATGTTGTAAATCAGTCGTCTCATTCTTCCTTGCTTTACCTATATATGTTGATTTCGTTGTCACCACATTGATAGATTCTACCTTCTATTCCTCCATGATAGATTCTCCTAGTGACCTCAAGTTTTGATATATTTTTACATATTGTGAACTGAATACCACATATTTCCAGAAGCTGTTAGCTGAGACATTGGTATGAGTTTTTTTTTTTTGCTTACATGGGACATAGTACACATCTTGTAGCTAGATTTGATTTGGATTGAAGCGTCGCATGAGCGTGGTCTTCCCAATATGAGTGATAGGCAATCTTAAATTATTTTCTATCATTACTTATTGATTGCCTCTATACTCCTTCATGTTGACGAGTTTTCCCTTGTCTCCTATCATATAATTGGAGCAAGCAGAATCGATGAGCTAATCTTTAATGTAGATGATTTCTTCTTGATCTAAAACTGCTGCAAGTGCGCACTCAGATTCCTCCATAATCGAAGGTAGTGCTATATCAACGACCTCTTCTTCATCAGCTGGTATATCTCCAATGATGGCCACAAATGGTTGAGTATCTCATTCTTCTTCTTCATCTTGACAATTGCGCGATGTTGCAACATTGCCCTCTATCGGCCTTCTTTTATAGCGACGGTCTCTGGCAAAGTAGCTTTTCTTCCCATTGTTGTAGCAGCTACCATCAGGCTTCCTTACTTAGCGATTACCTTGCTTCTCACTCTGATGTGCTCTTCTGGTGTATGAACTCCTTGGCTGCATATCTGAGTCAGCCTTTGCATACTGATTGCTTCGTTCCTTATTGCTGAACAACGCCTCATATTCACTTCTTTTTGAAAAAACGGACATTTGTTTAGCTAAGATCTCTTATGTAATGAGCAAGCTCTCCAACTTTGATAGTGTTGGTTGAGTCAGCCAATAGTGTGTAGCAGCAACAAGCTTGTGATACTGTGGTCTTAAACCTTGGATGGTTATTCTTCGCATCCTTACATCTAACACTCTAGAATCAAGATCTAACTGAACAATATCTAAACAGAGTGATTTTACTTGCTTAAAGTACTGATTGGTTGTAAGATCCTTCTACTGCAAAGTCATTAGTTGATTCTCAATGAGCTTAAGTCGAGCGTCGTTCTTCCTTGAGAAGAGTGTGGCAAGCGTATCCTATGCCTCCTTCGAAGTTCTAGCATCTCACATATAGCCTGTAAGATCTTCTTCTACTATCGTCTTTAACATATACATAGCATTACCAGTTTTGATGTTTCACTTCCTTAGTGCTTCGCTAGCTTCCCAAGGTGTCGTAGTTTCAACACCCCGATGACCTCTCAGAGGTCTTGTTCTTACAAACAGGACTTCATACAAGTCTCCCAGTAGCTCTAGTTACTATCGTTAAGTTTATTGAGTATAGTAGTAGTACTTATCAGATCCGCCATCGTGACATGGTACTACTTTAGTATCTCCACGCAAGTCTGGTCTCTGACCAACCAACTTCATAGTCCCAAACTAAGCATGAACTTCAACCTTCAATAACGCTAATAGGATCATCGTAAGAGAGAGCCGGTCTCTAACCGCCTGCTTTGATACTAATTGTTGATCTATGAGAGTAGCTCTGATACCACTTGTTAATTTGAGAATGGAGGTGGACACTAAGAAATATTTTGTTATTATTTCTTTAGTGGTACAATACTTAATACTTTCTCTAATTCAATTATTCTCTCTACTAGACACTATTACACTCTTTTACAAACACTCACTATTATTTTTCTCTCTTAATTTCTCTCTTTGTTTTTCTCTTTCTCTCTCTCTTTCTTGCTACTTGGATCCACCTCTCTCTTTTGAGTTTTGTTTCACTCGCTTGGGGTACTATCAAATGAATGCTTGGGGGGTTGTTTATAGCTTTAGTTTTGTGGTTAGTAATTACAATTGGGGGCTAGGTGAAAGTTATTTGTTACTGTAGAAATGGCAGCTAGGATAGGTGGGGGTAGATGTTGATTTTCTCAGATTATAGCTAATCACCGGAATCTCTCAACGTGAATACGATCCTGATTTCTGAATTTAGATTTTTAACCTTACATTCAAATTCAAACCTAATAAATTACTAAAATTAAATTATGTGGATGTAAGTGATTTGTAATAAATTCTACATAAATAAAACAAAGAGCGGGATTTTGTTGATTCTAACCTGCTGAACCCAATCAAAGTCAACCTGTGTGCCGCCCCCCCCCCCCCCAAAAAAAAAAATCTCGAATCTACAAAAGTATTGCAAACCAATGTGTCATTTAGAACAACTCAACAAGTATGTTAGTGTTACAACACAGCAGAAATTCTTCAATTACCCCTGATTAAAAGGGATAAAATGAGAAACTAGACCTCCGGTGAATCTGTTAATAGTCAAAATCATCAATCTTCGCCCTAGTAAAGTTAGGTCAAGAGAAGGTTAATAATGTTCGTTCCTTTTATAGATACTAGTATTTAACACGTGCTTTGCACATGTTGCAAACTAAGCAATGATATGAGACTAAAGCATTTGAAGGTTATCTTTTTTTAGAACAGCGAAGAGGACTCAAACAGAGCCCCTAGCCACCCACTCGCCATGAATTTATTGATATTTATATTAGTTTTTCTCTCCACGAAATTGCATACTTGTATAACTAATAGATTGATATTTTTTTCATAAATTACAGGTGAAACCGATTGCAGATCTGTTTGTTTCCTTTAAAAAGCAATATAATTTTCTCTCTTAATTATCACTTGTGAAATCTTGTTGAGTGCAAGGTATCCTGATTACTATAATCGAGGGATTGACTCCAATGTTAAAATTCTTACTTCCTCCATTTCCCCCCTTTTGACTCTTTTAGTGTTTCCTTTTGTGCATTTGAGCATCCATATATAGCATAATTTTATGCAACTCTTGTCAAAGTGGAATGTTTATGGAAGTAGATAAGTTTTGAAATTATTAGTACATAATTAATAAAGTGAATTTGATTAGTCAGTAAAAGAATATACATGAATCCTTTAATTATTGGTTCATTTTCTCATTAATATTCATACTAAATGCATTATTTGTGGGTTTGGAATGAGAGATGTCATAAATTACTTTATTAGCTAAGATTCAATTATTGTACTGCAATAGTTTTTTTCAAGAAAAAAAATATTAAGATACATCAAAACTAAACTAAAAACCCAAAAGCACAGCAAAAGAATGAGGATTAACGTTGCTCCTTATCAGACTGTAAAACATTGTGTCAAAATGATGGTGAGTTTTAGAGCAATACCAAAAAATCATTAATTTTCTTAGCATTTTGGACCAACACATGAGCTGTTATATTCTCCATTTGATGAACTATCTAAAAATCTCATTCCTTAAATCATGTACAACATCGCTGAATATCATCCACGAAGTGATTGAAAATCAAGTGTTGCTCCACCCATTACGGATATCTCTAATTAGTGCATCTGCGTCTTCTT